TATTAGTATGATTTAATAATAACACTTATAACAATAATAATTACTACTTCTATAGTATTTTGGAATATTCTGAAGACTTTGGTACATTATTTTATTGTAATCCATGCAATAGCCATGCAAAGAAGATTATAAATATTATATATTACAAATGAGTCTTACTAAGTACTTAATTCTCATGTTAGATATGAAAGTGAACTAAGGATTTCTTGGTAAATCTTTTAATTTCTTATCTCCAGTACTGCACAAGTTCTCCTAAACATATTTGTCTATGAATTATGCCTCTTGTATTTTGAGAAGATGAGGGAAAAAAATAAACAATTATCTGTTTAGGTACAAGCTATACACAAGAAAAGGGTATAAATTCACTCATGCCTATTGAAAAAAAAACCTGAAACCTTATTTCAAACTTTGTACTAATTTTGTAAGTCTGCAGGAATACCCTTAGATATTCCAGGGTTAAAGATAAACCATATATTTTTATGATGCCCTTTAAATCTGCACATTTTTAGTGGTTTGATAATTGTGTTGCTTCTTAAATTGTCCTTGAAGTGCCAAAAAGACCTCTAACAGTGCTGATTAGACCTCTAACAGTGCTGATTAGACTGAATTTAATTTCCCTGATTTAGACATTAAATAGGAGCTGCAATTAACCATCACCTACTATCTTTTGGAAGTATATTTTTAGAATGAGCATATACTTTAGTAGCACTAAGCCATTATTCAGTGTTTAGTGCTACTTGAAATTTACTGAAGGCTCTAGCTAAATACTGCAATTATATCCCTTGATTTATCTAGAAAAGGCCTTTCTCTTCCTTGGGCTCTGGTTCCCATTCATATCTGCTGGCTGGGGAGAATTGTAAGCCACATCTTCCTAAAATCATGGGTTCTGATTTTATTTTTTATTTTATTTTTTCATTTTCAGTGAAGCATTTCCATATTAATCCATTTGCAGAGGAAATAAACTCTAAACAAGTATGTCAGACTTAACATAATATAAGTAGTCCTTGGTTTTTTTACCAGAACTGATCCCAAAATTTCTGTTGATAAGTGAGACCTTTGTTAATTTAAGGGAGTTTTGTGCCATTTTCTGACCTTTCTTGCCACAGCTGTTAAGTCAGAAGGTCGCAAAAGGGGATCACATGATCCAGGGACACTGCAACTGTCATAAATATGAGTTAAATGCCAAGCATCTGAATTTTGATCATGTGACCATGGGGAGATGCTACAACGGATGGATGTAAGTGTGAAAAATGATAGTAAATCCCTCTTTCAGTGCCATTGTAACTTTGAACAGTCACTGTTGTAAGTCAAGGACTACCTGCACCATATCTAAAGAACATTTGTGCTACAACATTTCAGCATTTTGATCTTTTTAAAGAAGGACTCGAGGCTGGCTTAAAGCCACGAAGTTAGTGTGAAATCTCTCATGTAAGCAAAGAATTATGGTAAATAATGCAGGAATAAGCTCACTTTGAACATGCAGAAGATATTTTGAATGGTTTTAGATTAACAAATTAACAGAGTTGGAAGGGACCTTGTAGGTCATCTAGTCCAACCTGCCACCCAAGCCAGAGACCGTCCACCATTTCTGACAAATGGCAGTCTAATCTCTTCTTGAAAGCTTCCAGTGATGAAGCTCCCACTACTTTTGAAGGCAACTTCTCTTTTCCATTGATTGCTTTTACTGTCAGAAAATTTCTCCTTACTTCTAGGTTGAATCTCTCCTTGATTGGTTTCCATCTATTATTCTTTGTCTGGCCTTCGGGTGCCTTGGAAAATAGCTTGACCTCCTCCTCTCTGTGGCAGCCCCTCAAATACTGGAACACTACTATCATGTCTCCCCTGGTCCTTCTCTAGATTAACCATAGCAAGTACTTGCAATCGTTCATTGTATGTTTTAGGTTCCAGTCCCCTAATCAACTTGGTTGCTCTTCTCTGCACTTTTTCTAGAGTTCAACATATTTTTATAGTGTGGTGACCAAAACTGGAAGCACTATTCTAGGTATGGTCTTACTAAGGCTTTATAGAGTGGTATTAATACCTCTCTTGATCTTGATTGTATCCCTCTATTAATGCCACTTAGGATTGCATTGGCTTTTTTGGCTGCTGCTGCACACTGTTGGCTCATATTTAACTGGTTGTCCACTAAGACTTCAAGGTCCCTCTCACAGTTACTGCTATTAAACTGGTTTCACCCAGTCTATATCTGTACTTTTGGGTTTTCTTGCCTAAGTGTAGGACTTTACTTTTCTCTACATTGAATTTCATTTTGTTAGATAGGGCCCAGTGTCCAAGTATGTCAAGATCCATCTGGATTTTGAGCGTATCATCTAAAGTGCTTCAGAATGTCTGAAATGTCTGGAACCCACATTATATATCTGATATTAACACAGTTGAGAAAGTCTAGAAATATTTCACAAGAAGAGTTCTCCACTCCTCTACTCGTTGTGGAATACTTTATGCCACCAGACTTGAAATTTGAGACCTAGAAAACCGAGAACTATGCCAGCTTCGGTCCAATCTAAGTATAGTGTATAAAATCATACATTGCAATGTCCTACCTGTCAATGAATACTTCAGCTTCAACCATAACAACACAAGAGCAAACAATAGATACAAACTCAAGGTTAATTGCACCAAACTTGATTGCAGGAAATACGACTTCAGCAACAGAGTGGTCAATGTTTGGAATACTCTACCTGACTCTGTGGTTTCTTCCCCAAACCCCAAAAACTTTAACCTTAGACTGTCTACTATTGACTTCACCCCTTTCCTAAGAGGTCTGTGGGGGGCGTGCATAAGCACACCAATGTGCCTACCGTCCCTGTCCTATTGTTTCTTTTATTTATTTTTTATTTTTCTTATATGTATCCATGTATTCATAACTATGTTTGTACTTATACCTATTATCTGGTAACCAATTGACAAAAACAAATAAATAAAATAAATAAATAAAATGTGACTGCTATGATAGGCGGTAAACCCCAAAGATGTCCTTAAGCAGAAACCAAACTGATGTTATTGCTACTGATTGTGTCCTACACTGCATCCAACAGGAGAGTTTTGTATCCTAATGTTTATTTTAAAACCTGTTTCTGAGCAGATGAGTTTCCAACACTACTGTACTGCAGCCACTTATCACTTTGATGTCTTTAAAATGTCAGCGTGGCCCAACGTGAGTGTTCTCAGGTATAAAAATAATGGGCTCTGCTGCTTTGCTTTGTCATACACCAGCTTCTCATTTTTAAAAATGAGAAACTAAAGAAACTCAAAGACAGTCCATAAATGTCTCTTTTGGCACTGACAGACTTTTTACTAAAGCCCTGTCCAAAAGAGACATTTATGGTCCATTGCTGTTCAGGGACATTAAGTTGCCTACACGTATATGCATTTACACTTCTAAATTGTTCTTCCTTTTAGAAAGTTAGTTTGGGCTGCCTAATTATCATTATCTTCTTCTTCTTTTAATGACTCCATAATCCCTTGGAGTCTGGGCAACTGAATAGAGCTTAGCAGAGTGTTTAATGGCTGGATGTCCTTCCTGCAGCCAATGTGGAGGTTTGCACACTGAAGATGGCATTTATTTTCGTTGTATGAGATGCAATGACAATAAAGTAAACTAACTAACTTGTTCAGCAGATATATTCTCACTGTGCCCAGAGAGAGAAATATCTGCCTTTACCCAGGATCGAACTCACAGCCTCCTGATTGTGAGGGAAGAGCTCCACCTCTAGGCCAACACACCACTCTTTCGGCTGCCTAATTATCTTCAACCAAAATTCTGGCATCCAGTTTTGACTATTTTCATGCATGAGGTCAGTCCGAGGAAGCCTAAGCCTGGGGTATTCTAGACTTTCTATGAAAGCAGATATATCTAAATCAGTCCTCGGTCAAATAATTATTGCAACAGTGCTAGCAAAAACAACTATTGGTCTTTTTCTTTAACCCTTCAACATACTTCTAGCAGCTTTTGACATGATACTTATATCCAATATTGTCAACTCATACCTGAACAAAACTTTAAATGGAAAGATGGGAAAGGAAGAACTGCTTTCAAAGGAAGAACTAACACACATGTAAGGTCAATTGCTTGAGTGAGGTGATTTTATTTTTGTTTTGTTTTTTTTAATGATGAAACCTTGGAAACTTCAGGTAAGTAAGAATAGCACCAGAGAAATTTAAGTATTTTTCTCATTAGAATAGACCTGACAGATATCACCTAGGGTGCTTTCTGCATTTCAGAAAAAGCCTGAAGCACTCTAATTTTAATTTGAGATGTAATTAATCAGTTTTAGAAGTTTATTTTTAGTTAGAGTGACAAAGAGAGGAATTATTTTTCCCCTACCCATTACCATTTTGTAGCCCATTCTTCTCAGTTCATATTAATTTGTACCTGGTTTCCTTTTTAATTTTTCAAGTGCTCCTATCATTAGATTTTGAAGGTTTATCCATGCAATTGGTCTCAAGGTGTGACTCTGTCTGGTATACATACTTGTTTCAAATTCTCAATTCTTTTGACGTATTTACTATAAGTGCCATTGCTGTTAATGTTTTCTACTTCTAAATTTCTTCCTGATGACAGGGAGCTATTGTTATAATGTGATTTCTGGGTTCTATCTGATGGAGTAAAATCAGTGGTAGATTGTCTTTTGATAACTTATTGTCCTTTTTCTTGGCAGGTGTTACTTAATGAACACCGCAGTCTGTCAGGATTTGGTCTCATACTACAAGAATCCAAGGAAAGCAAACCAGGGATAATTAAATTCTATTTCAAATTGTTCATTTTGAAACAAACTAGTGCCTAAAAATTTCCCCTCACAAATTAGCCCTTTAGGACATGTCAGGAATGTAGCTAGCAAACAGTTGCAATGAATATTAAGTTAATGTGGCTTCTGGGGATGGTTGCTTAACAGTGAGGCACAATACCTTTCTCCAAATCAGTTTTGTATGTGTTCTATTTGGTAATTAGCATTCTGATGAGTTTTTTTTAATGTTCCCAGATATCCGTGGAATACAAGAGTTTTTGGACAAAGTATCTCAACAGGGAATGGATGTAGCACTTCAGAAAGTGGAGAACAACATCAATAAAATGATCACAGGACTCTTCACCACCATGCGGATTGAAGAACTCAACCGCTATCGAGACACGCTGAGACGGGCCATTTTGGTAATGAACCCTTCGACAGCCAAGTCTTTCATTGCTGAGGTGAGTGAAGGCACCAGCTGACACTTAAAATTCAGTTCCCTTTGAAACTTCTGACAAAGCAACTTGAACTTTTGTGGCCAAGAAGGAATTATTATGCAATTTCCCTCCCTTTTATTTGAACAATATGTGTAGGAAAGTATGTATGCATTAATCTGCTCAAACTTTTGAAGTTCAAATCCAATAGTCAGTTGTCCAATGCTGTACAGAAATTCTGAAAATTCTAACACATTCTAGAGAACACCAAGTTGAGGAACAAATATGTATCATTTATTATTATTTATAACATAAAAATTGTTCTTGAACTAAAACATTATGGGAATGGAGTTTGGAATTTTGCCTATTAGCATTATTGTTCACTAATTATTTTCCTGCACAATTTATTCCATTGTTGTGCTGTACTTATTATTGGTTTACTTTCAAATATTGAATTATTAAAGATGCAGGTGTCATTCCTAATTACAATGAGGCCAAAATGATGAAATGTGTGTCATGACAGCACAATGCAAATTCTATCTTTTCATCCTTGAGTTGCAGAGTTGGTATCATAACACACTTGCTTTCCCTGCTCATTCCTATGTGTTAATTGGAAATTACTTCTTCCATTAATATCTTCATTCATTTAATGGAAACAGAAGCAGGAACCACTTCGTTCAAACTTTTAAGTAGAAGGAAAACATTCATAATTTGCCCATACCGAGTACCAGTGGGATATTGTAACTGACAGCTAACCCACTGGCCACAGTGACACTGGGAACAATGCTAGAACAAAGCACAAATGGCTTTTATGAAATTCTCCCTCAAATTCGTGGTCAAACAAAATAAAACTCAAAATGGTGCATTGTCAACCATTTTTCAAAGGGATGTTTTTTCACCTTTTCTTTCTTTTCCTTCTCTATTTTCTTTCTTCACTATACCTCCTTATTTGATTTCCTAACATTTATATTGGTGTTCTCTTGTTAAATTTTCTTCAGTAAAATTATAGTAAGAAAAATTATGGGCTTTTTGCTGAACAAAAGGAAAAAATGAACTTGTGATTTATGGATTTGATGGTTAGAAACATTGGCTTATAGAAGAAAGAAATTACAATGTAAATTTAGAGGGAGAGAGGAAAATATAAATGCATTTATAACAACCCATGTCAAAAAGACCAGAAGCTGCTTCTTGTATAACTTTTCATTTTCTAAATTTTATCTTTCTTAGTATTCTTTCTTATTTTTTTTCCAAAATATATATTTCTTTCATTTTGTTAAAAATTATTTTAATAAAAATATATATTTAAAAAAACAAAAATTACTCAAAGACAAGATTCATCTTATGTTAAGTTATTCTCTAACCGCAGTGATTCGTTCCAATCCTTCTCAGTTTTATATTGCTACTCCTTACTTATGATCAAAGTAGTACAAAAAGAGAAAAAACATCATCATTGCCAGTATTATTTTTTGTAAATAAAGATAAAAGAAGTAGAATTAATAGCTCCGCTAGTGTATAGTGTATGAACCCTCATGGCGCAGTGGTTAGAATGCAGTATTGCAGGAGAACTCTGTCCACAATCTGGAGTTCAATCCTGACTGGGCTAAAGATAAACTCAGCCTTACATCCTTCTGAGGTCAGTAAAATGAGGACCCAGATTGTTGGTGGCTATATGCTGACATTGCAAACCACTCAGACAGTGCTGCAAATATAAGTCTATAGGTGCTATTGCTCTACTCTTAAGTGCTATTGCTGTGTTTAAATTTGCTTTACTGCAAGATTTAATAGCAAGTACCTGATGCTGACAGGCAGGGGTGGGCTTCAAAAATTTTAGCAAAGGGTTCTCTGGCCGGTTGCTGGCTAGGTATAGCCATGATGTGCGTGGCCTAGTTGGCCTCCTGCACCATCGGGGAGTGTTTTTGCCCTCTCTGGGCTCTGTCATCAGAGCAGCTGATTGTGGGGAGGGGGAAAAAGAAATACCTTAAGGAGTAACTGGGCGGGGGGAGAATGCAGTCAGCAATGTAGGGCATGTACATGATGTAGTGCATTTGTGATAAGGGCTGACTGGGCAGGGAGGGGGGCGGAGGGGCGGGCAGAGAGGGGCAGGGCCAGCCAAGGGCATAATTTGCTGGTTCTCCAAACTGCACAGAATCATAACAACCGGTTCTATAGAACCAGTCCAAACTGGTAGAATCCCACCCCTGATTGCATATATTGTAAAAGACCAATATACGACATTGAAATCATATATAACCATGTTGGGCATTGTCTCCATTAACAAAACATGTATTTCAAAGCTTTCTTTCTGTATTCTTTTCACTTCTTAAAGTTGCAAAATTGAAATATTTATTGTTTTTCTTTTTCTGCACTCAATATTTTTATGTTAAAGAATTTCAATGAGCTCCCTTGCAACCTTCAGAAGTGAACAGCTACTTAATAAATAAAATTGTAAATATTCAGTTAAATTACACTTAAAAGAATCTTGTCTAATTCATTTGAAATTATGGGGTGTTTTTTTGCATGTATTTGTACTTATTTGAAGAACATAATGTATGTGCATACATTAAGTACAATTTAAACTGCTTTGTAGGATTACAGTATTTACATTTTCAGTTGTATTTGCCATATTTTGTGTAGTTAGAATAACAAATTGCCTACACAGAATATTGAACATACATAATGAAATGTAAACCATCCAAATTTATAACATTCCACATTTAAAACAATGAAGTTGGATCACTATTACTGATTTGACTATTTCCACCATCCCATACTAAAATATCTATCTGCAAAGAAATAGTAGAAATGTCTTTAATCTAATTCCTTTCACAACAATTATTTTTAATTTAGCTTTTTACCCCAAAACACTGAGTCTTATAATTTTTCCTGTATATGTCGCAAGCACTCTTAGATCTGTTTGCAATATCTTGATTATGTTTTTAGCAAGTGATTAGCTCAAATATATATTGAATTTCTTTCATTTCACAAAGTTGACTGTCTGTCTGTCTGTCTGTCTATCTATCTATCTATCTATCTATCTATCTATCTATCTATCTATCTATCATATCTCTCTCTTTCTTTTTATCAGTCCCATCTATTTATCATTCATCTATCTATCTCTTCCCGTCCATCTCTGTCTCCCTCCCTTATCTAACTATCATAAAATTCCATAGTTGTCTTTAACCAGATAATTCTATGTTTAAAATATCTTGTTCTATGTTTTGATTTAGTTTTTATCTTTCTTGGTAGAATAGCCCATGTTAAATGAATGTCCTTTCTTACAATTAGCAGATTGGAAAAGGGATATTGTTATGTGTTTAGATCAGAGGTCTCCAAACTTGGCAACTTTAAGACTTTGTGGGTTTCAACTCCCAGAATTCCTCATAGCCAGCATAGCTGGCTGAGGAATTCTGGGAGTTGAAGTACACAAGTCTTAAAGTTGCCATGTTTAGGGACCCCTTGTTTAGATCTTGTAGCTGTTTTGTATCAGGTGAAGTGGTGGGATTCAAATATTTTTACTACCAGTTCTGTGGGCATGGCTCGATAGGCGTGGCAGGAGAAAGATACTGTAAAACCTCCAGTCAGAGGTGGTATTTGCTGTTTTCCTGAACTACTCAAAATTTCTAGTACCGGTTCTCCAGAACTGATCAGAACCTGCTGAATACCACCTCTGATCAGGTGGTTCATGACAGTGATTCTTAAGCATTTCAAGTAATTACCTTTCATGATATAAAAGATTGGAATACATGGTTCTGTGTCCAAGGAGATTTTATTCTACCATCCGCAGCTCTTCCCCTACATTGACCTGTAGTCAAATCCACCCACCCTTTCAACAAAGGCATCAGCATGATAGGGGCAAGGGGAAGCAAAAATGAAAAAAGAGCGTTGTCCTGTTAAGTCACAAGTTGCATACAAGCACTCTCCCCCCCAATAACATTAGACCAAAAGGAAACGATCGTTCCAGAGTATTTCTGGATTCATTAGTATAGAGGTCTGCAAAACTCAAATGCTGATGTTTCCTGTCAACATTATGGTGAGAGAAAAGATAGACAATTAAAGTTTCATCTTTTCCATCCTTGGGAACCAGCAGAATTATCCATTCAAGTTATCTCCAGATGAGTTAAGATCATAAAAGAAATTAGCAATGTTATTCCTTTGAATTTCTACAATATTACAGATTAAGTCTAGGGCAAAATTAGAATAAATCGGAGCATCCAGTGGGTTTATTATTACAGCCTTAATTGATTGTGTGGCAGATAAGATCCACCAGACCTAACAAGGATAAAGTTGAGATGCCAATGGAAGGACTTAGCAGTACATTAAGCCCAGTTATCTGCTGGGAGAAAAGGATTTTGGAAAAAAGGAGATTTTGCATTTCTTTCCAAAGTTTAGTGCTGAAACGATACCACTTTTTGTTCGTTTCCTTCTTGCATGCACATAAATCCATTGCAGCAATTCAGATCAGAAAATGGGTTTTGCAATTCAGTTTGAAGGAAGGGATTTGATCAAATTCCCTTTAAATCAAAACTTTACTCAGTCCTATGAGTTATGACATTACTGTTCTATTGAGAGATGGTCCAGCACTTCGACTGGGTCCCTGTTTGGATAATATTGTAATACATATCTACCAGAGAAAGTCTTATTGAATTCAAGGTCAAAAGTGCAGGTTTTTTTATTTTTAAAAAGGAAGCTAGGAGCAAAGAGCAGGGCTTAGTTACTTCTCAATTATTTTGGATTCAAAGTATTGTGTTCTAACTATAGAAAACAGTCTTTTTTGATCAGAAATATTTCCCATTATTTACAATAATAAAGAGTAATTGGAACTTGCTGGACCAGTGAGAAAAAAAAGAAAAACACATTGTTATATATTGCTGTGTACCCAGCTGGCCACCTTCTATAGATTTGTAATTGAAATCCTATAGTGTTTGTCTGAGTTATAGGGGTTTTTTATCAAGAAAATGGTTAATCTTCTCTGAATTAGTGGACAGTAGCTTTAATTTCCCCAAGTTAGTAGATTTAAATTAAATATT